CTGGGGTTCCCCACATAAGATTTGTGACTTTGAATCTCAGACATAAAGTAAGCTGACAATCTGTCAGACCTTAAGAGAGATAAAAATGAATCCCATTGAAAGATGAAGTCAGGGAATTTAAATGGGTTTCATCAGATCCTTAATTTGATCACCTCTAAAACTATACAAGAACATATTTGCTTTTTGGAATGACTGACAGCCTGAAGAATTTTGGAGAGGAAGAACTGCATGATGCCCAGGAAGCACTTGTACAGCTGTGGCCTTCCCACAGGGCAGGATTTGGGGTCAGGGTCAGTCGGGGTTGGGGCTGGGTTTGGCCCCTGTTCCTGGGTTAGGGTCCAGGAAAGCAGCCTGCAGTGAGTTGAGGTCCTAGCACCCTGCTGCTCTGTCCTGGCTGTGAACAGCATGCTGGCTATGGGGAATGCTGACTCACTCCTTTTGAAGGTACCTTTGTAAGTTTTGATTTTAAATGTCAACCATTTGGAAGCAAAAGAAAGCATTTTAACTTTCAAATCTAGGGTATTTTTATGGATACATACTTTTAGTTGTCAAGTTATTTTAGAATCATGACTGTTCGTCCAACACCATTTTGGCCCAGGTGACAGACACAAAGCACTAATTTAGGCACCTCCCAAATGCACCAGCCAACCAGGCAGGTGGGCCCCTCTGTCCCATAGGAGAAGTCAAGGCTTCAGGTGGACAAGACAGTTTGACCAGCTGCCCAGAGGACCATGAGCAGGAAAACACTATCACCATATAACAAGTCATCCTTTCTCCAGCTCCTTGGTGCTTTGGAGCATCTTCCGCCTGCACAGAATTACAGCAGTCACACAACTAAGCACACACAAAGCCCTCAACAGTGTCAGGCCAGTGCAAAAAGCAACTGGGCCTAGAGAAGAAGTAACCGAAAAGTACTGATGAATTTGTTCACTTGGTATCTCCCCTGCATTCTTGGCATCCCAGAACCCAGCCTTGGAAGGGGGCCGGCACCCTCGCTGAGTACCACGTTTAAGAAGCTGCCCCAATGCCCCTTTTGGAGATAGCACAGTAGCTTCTGCTGACATTTCCATACAAGGATCCAGCTATTTTTCAATGAATCACATCTGTTGGAAAAACTCCAAAGTAAGTCAAAGATTTCTCTTCTACTTGGCTTTACAGTTATAATACAAAAACATTTTTTCCTGATAATGAACAAAACTTTCTTTGAAGAATCAGAGCATTCACAAAATGGTTTTCAAAAATGGCTTCTACATGACACCATCAAAATATTTCAGTTTGCACAATTACTTTGGATTTACTTTTCAAATAGGAAACATTACAGATTGAGACTCACGAAGCTCATTTAAGTGGTGCTCAAACTAAAAGTACATAGCCATGCTTAATGGACAAAAATAATAGGTCTTGCTACCTAAATAACTAAAATAACTGTCACCTTAAACAATCTGTATATAATTATATAAGCCAATTTATTAAGAACCTTAAACTGAATTTCATTTATGTTAAATGTAACTCAAAATATGTATGGGGTCAAGTGGCATTTGCTAAAAAATAATCCTGATAAATCTTTGTTGATCTTCTGGTGTACAGAATAAAATTGCTCTAAAATTTTGTAGAAAAAAGTATACAACTGGTATCTGTATTAATCTGCATTAGGAAACAAACATTTTTTTCATTACTGTTGATGAAACTAATACAGGTAGTCACTTCATACATCCTGATTTTCTTAGTTTTTCTCTGACACCCACCAATACTGACTAGGTGAATACTTGATCCAGTAGAAATTGATTCTTTCTTTTTTTTTTATACCAGGAATCGAACTCATGCCCTTGCACTTGTCAAGCAGGTGCTTATGCCACTGAGCTAAATCCCCTGATTCTTTCATAAAACACTTATTTCACTGCTATTATGTGCTAAGCTAGTGTTAAAAACTTTGGATTTGATGTGCACTAAGCTTCCTTCAAGTTCATTATATTAAACAAAGTAATCCAATCACAGAATGACAAAGACCTGATGATCTCCTTCAAATGTGGAATCAAAAAGTTCATCTCCTAGGAGTAGAGAGTAGAAGGCATGGTAGTCACCAGAGGCTGGGCTGGCCAGGGGCAGGGGAAGTTGGAAAGATGCTGGTCAAAACACACACAATTAGAGATACCTGGTAGAATAAGTGTAAGAGAACTATTGTACAGCACGGTGATACAGTTAATGACAATGAACTGTATTTCTGAACAATGCAGACAGTGGGTCCCAAAAACGCTACCATGTGAGATAATGTATTTGTTAATTAGAGTTAACCATTTCCCAATCTATATACCTCAAAATACACTGCAAACAATACATACATACAATTTTACACAGTCTAGGTAAAGTAAATAAATACCTAAGCGATTCCTTGCCTGCAAAGCCCATGGTCTTTTATTAAAGGTAAAAGCCTCATTAAGATTGACTGTGCATGGTATATACAACAACACAGCCAATCATGCAGGTCTCTTTAAAGCAAGCAGGAAGGTCAGTGCACAGCTATGGCCCTGTCTGAAAAAGTCCCCCTCCTTTATCAAGGAGAGTGTGGCCTGGTCCTTCTGGTTTGCATTTCACCTTGGCAAAGCCCAACTGGTAGGTGAAGACAACATCAAAACATCTCTGAGAATTACAACCATAGTCCCGACTCCTTGCTTCTGCCAAAGGTAGCATCACTGCACTTAAACACGCCAACTGAGGACCTCATCTAAGCCACAAAATAGAAACAGGTCCAGTGGTCCTTAGGACCAAACACTGACATGGCAAGAAAAGCATCATCTAGAAATCTACAACCTGATACACAAAAATTGTATGTCTAGTTGGGGTTTTAACTGTATGTACTACACTGGTTTTTTTCCCCTACTTTAAATTTCAGATAAAATTAAAATCTGAAAACAAAAATGTTTATCATATTACATACTAAAGTAGAAGGCAGGTTAAATAGATACATCATAAATCACATCTTTAAATTGTAATAAGATAAAAACCTTCTAGCCTGCAAAAACAAACTTACATTATTAGAAAAAGATTCCTAAAATTATATGTTTAACGTCTAAGACGCTACCATGCCACCAAAGACAGGTTTGTCACACAGAAAAGCAGTGTATGTGTACACTAACATTTCTACTTGTTTATTTGGTCCTCACAGCGCCCAGAGAGTGAGGTAAAACCACCCAGAGTCTTAAATAATACGTATGTGCTTACAAGAGCTTGATGGGAGATCAAAGCTCATTCACTACCTTCATGCAGAACACAGTCACCCCTTAAAAAAAGTCAAATACCAAAAGACTTAAGAGGACAAATATCCTACATGGCCCATTTGTGATATTTCGGTGTGGCCAGCACAGGCCTTTCAACCTGCAGGGCCTCCTCTGAGATCCCTGCTGCAGGGTCTCTCCACACAGCTTCCCTGCAGAGCAGACCTCCCCGAGGGGTTCTGGTCTCCTGCTCAGGGTGACCCCCTGAGAGGTGGGCTCAAAGGTGAGCCCAAGGCAGACAGCCCAGCAAAGTGGTGTGCCATGACAGTTCCATGGCAAGAATGACTAAAGACAGGGGAACCAAGCCTGCCAGCCTCTGTCAGCTGGTATCAGCGAGTTCTCCTAAGACCAGTGCTCTGTCATCACGAGCTACTACACTGCTTACAGCTGAGGGGCCACTGCTCCTACATCTTGGGGGTCCCCAGTCAGGAACCCACGCATCAGCTCTGAGGACCTACGTGTTGTTGCTAAAACCTGGGTGGGAAATGACAGCAGTTTAGCGAAGTTGGATTTATTCCTCCCCAGCCAGTTCGTCGCTGGTGGACTCAGGGGACAGTCCCTCCTCCGCGGGCTCCCCACAGCCAGCAGCGACTCCCCAGTCTCCTCGTACACCTTCATTCCTTGGGCAGTTTCTCCCTCCAGGAGAACAAAATGGACTTCCCAGGCTTCTCTGGCCAACAAAGGCTTGGAGCTGCGGTCCCGCGCCTGCTTCCCTCCCGCCCTCAGCTGGCAGCCCTCAGCGACCCACCTCGCGGAGCTGCTCCAGCTCCTGCTTGAGGCTGTCGTACTCGGCCTCCAGCTCGTCATACTGCTGCTTCAGGGTCAGCTTCTCCTCCAGCACCACCAACCCATATTCGGCCGCTTGGATCTTCTCGTGGGTGGTCTCGGTGAGCTCACGGGTCAGCCGCTCGATCTCGGTCTTGTAGTGATCCACGTTCGGCAGCGGCTCCTCTGCGGCCATCGCCCCGGTGGGGGCGCGGGGCGCGGGCGCGGGGCGGGGGCGCGCGGCGCGGGGCTACGCGGGGGGCCTGGCTGCCCGGCACCGCATGGCCGCGCGTGGGAGCGTCGGCCCGGGGCTCAGGCGCGCGGCCGCCACGGCCCGCAGTCCCCGCCGCGCCACCTGCTCTGCCGCGAAACGATGCTGCAGCTGCAGTCGCCGCGCAGCCTTCGCCCGGCTCGGCCCGGCGCGGCCGGCGGGGGGCGGGAGCGGATGCCGTCGGCGCGGCGCAGGGGCGGGGGCGGGGCGGGGATGGGGGCGGGCTCGACGGAAGGACCGGCGCCACTGAGGCCAACAGCGGACTGTAACGTGGGGCACGCGCCTCTGGCTGCGCACTGCCGCCCCCTGGTTCGCGAGCTCCACCGGCGCCGAGCTCTGCACAGACGCCCCCGCCCTGGAGCTCTGGCTGCAGAGCTAGCTGGAGCTCAGAAAGGGGCACCTTGCCCAAAGGAAGCAATGCGTCTCTGCGGGTGCTGGCCCGAGCCAGCGCGGATGCTGCTCGCAAAGCCTTCGACGCGCTCCCTCGGCTCCACAGTCTGGCCTGTTCCACCTGCTCCTCTCTGATGGCAGAACTTCAGCGTCTCCCCAGCATAGGCTTCCTCACAAACTGCCTGGCTGCCCCTCCCAGGCTTGGCTGAGGCCAACACCTCACAAGATCCTTCTGTGTTCCAGAAAACGTTTCTCCAAGTCCTGCAGGGCTTATGTGAGTACACCAGAGAAGCGCCTACCTGGATGGGTTCCCCAATAAAAGAAAACTGCATAAAAGTTACTTAAAAAGGAAGCAAAACTACCTCCTGAGAAAAAAACGTTAAGTACTGAAAGCAGAGTTTTTGTGACCAAGCATTGTCGTGAGCACGCTCCCCGCACTCTGTCCTGTTCTAAGGACAGTTCTTTGATGTAGGGGCTACAGTTCAAGGGCAGGGAACTTGGGTGCTTTGCTTAATGGAAGGCATTTCTTAAAAAACAGGGAGCTAAATGTGAATCATAAATCCAGAGCTCTACACAGGATGGTGAGGTTGGCGCCATCTTCACGGGTAGGAAAGCCTGCAACCAAACAGTACAGACCTGTAACATAGTTGCATTCATCAGTATGGAGATTATGGTAAGGTCCCCAAAAGAGGTGACAGTGAAGTGGGGGTGGAAGAGATCAAAGAGCGGGGAAGATGCAAGCCATGAGGGATCCAGGAAAGGAGAAGCCAGTCTACACTTCACATAAGCCAGCAAAAACTATTCTGGGTCTGGGAAGAGAACAAGAAATAGCTAATCTGCTTTTACTGTAAGCAGTGCTATTCAGGGCCCAGGAAGACAGAAGCTAGGCCACCACACCCAGGAGTCAGCAGGACCCAATTTGGCCTTTGTGTAAGCCACTCAGCCATGTGGGGCCCAGAAAAAGAGAACCCAGTTTGCCCCTCCTGTGAGCCCACTGGTGTGAGAATCCAGGTACGTCCCCACTCACCCTCCAGAAACAACCTTTGGTTCAGGAGGACAGGCTGAGTTAATAGAAACCCAGGTACAAAACCAACTAAATGCTTGTGTTGTTTAGTTGACTTTGCAGGCCTGAGGGCCATAGTCTAAGCATCTGTTAGGAGGATGACAGCACGCAGCATAGCAAATACGGGGGAATTTCCTTCTGTCCTGTGTTTGAAATCCAATAGTGCTTTCACCGGTTAGTTTTTTCCCAATTTATTACTTTGTTTTATTGAATGTTCTATTTTGATTGGTTTATTTCTGGTTTGTTTTTTTGCTTTTACTTTTTTTTTTTAATCGGTTACAGGGATCGAACTCACGACCGCCTGCTTGCAAGGCAGGTATTTATGCCACTGAGCTAAATCCCCAGCCCCCATTTGCTTTTACTATGTCTGATGCACAGCTATTGTGAAGATAACAAGTGTTATTAAAGTAGCCATTGTAGGTTTCCTATTATACTGTGTTTTGAAGGTTTGTACCACTTTTACTGTTTCGTTTCGATTGGCTTTATTTGTTATATTTTATTCTCTTTAAAATAAAGAATACATTTAAAAACAACAAAGAGTGGGAAAGAGATGAAGGTCATGAGCACTCAGGGGCTGGAAGAAAGGAAGTGCAAGCACCCTTCCTTCCACAGGCCCTGGGCCTTCCTGGCTCCTGCTGGCCCCTAGCAGGAGGCTCTTATCCCTGAGATCTTTCTCATGGGCACTAGTGCTCAGCAGACCTGTGTTTTCAGGGCCAAAACACAGAACCCACCTTTCCCATCTGCTTTATGCAGTAAGAGGACAACTAATGTGTGTTCGGGGAAAGCGAATGCCAGTGATTTCCAGTGCTCCTACCAACAGACTTTGTAAAGATGGCCTGCTGTGCTTGAGAAAATCAGAATATTCTCTTGCACATCACTGATATAAACAAATCTCCTGCTATGAGGCCCAACCTCCAGCTTCCCACAGAGCTAGGATAATGACCCCATCTTCCAACCAGGCTTCCTGGATCTCACACTCCAATTAAGAAGCTCCTTCCATGTACACTGTGGCATCTGTGTTCTTGTCCCACTGAGGAAAGGTCATGAGCTGCCAAAGAGATGAAACTCACAGTGGAACTCACTTAGCCGGCTTTCTTCCCAGTGTGTCCCTGGGCACTCCTCACCCCAGGAACTAACCACAGCCCATGGAGGGATCAAAATACTTGGAGTCGTTTTACGTAGGTCTCCCTGCCTTTGCACAGAGCTAAGTGGAGTTTGCCTCCATGACTTTCTTCTTCTAAGTCTCCAGAGCTGCCCATTCTAACTGATAACTTTAGTATATTCAGTCTGACTACATCTGGGCACAGCAGCAAGATTAGCACTTACAGCACACATTGGAAATTACTAAGCTCTGCTATCTATAATGTAAGTCTGATGTTACATGAAAGAGAGAAGGCAGGTTAAGAGCAATGAATGTAGACGTTTTTGTGCTTAGGAAAATTTGAGCCAGGCTGGTGTGGGGTCCTGAGCTACAGCTGTGCCCATGCCTCCTGATTCTCTTCTCACTTTCTCTCCCAAGTTTCCCACAATCAATTACATGGACATTGGATCCTGTCTCAGCATCAGCGTTTTGGAGGGTCTGAATCTGAGCAAACATAGACTCCAAGGCAGAAGCAGGGTCTCAGGGAGAAAAGGCAAACAGAACAACACAGGGGACAGGGGACAGGGGACAGTAGCTTGGAGTAGAGTAGGGACAACAGGGGTGGAGACAAATCAAATTATGCCTTTCTGTCAAAGACAGAATGTCAAGAAAAAACTACAAACCCATAGAAAGAAAGAACCTAGGCACTTAACAGCTCAGGGTGAAAGCCCCATGTTCAATCCTTAACACCATGATAAAGGAAGAGAACAGTTACTAGGCTGGCTGCTAGATGAGTGCTAAGAGAGGAAGTGGCCACCCAAGATGCCTCCATGGTTTTAGGACTAAGCAACTGGAAAGGTGGAGTCTCCTGCACCTGACACGCTAAAGCCTGAGAGGGGAACACGTTCTAGGAGTGACACTAAAGGCTGAATTCGGGATCTAGAAGGCTGGAGATACTATTAGACATGCAAAGGAAATGTAACAGAGACTACTCATTTCCTGAGCCTGGATTTCACAAAAGGCTATTGGTTGAAGACACAACTTCCACAGTTGCTGTGTAGCTGGTATTGGATGCCAAAGAACTGAAGGTGATCACTATGGGGTAAGAGAAAGATCATCATAGGGATGATCTAGGATCTGGATCCTGGTACATACTAGATTTGACAGGTGAGGAGGATTTATCAGGTAACAATGGAGGTCAGGCAAATGCAAGCTTGTCATCAGTGCCTGATGAAGTTCACATTTTAACGGAGTTTGGCCCCTTTTGAGAGTAAATACTGTTTGACTCAAACTCTGTTTTATGTGACTATTTTATTTTGTTTTTATTTTTGAGATATGGTCTTGATAAGCAGTTCAGGCTCTTGAACCCAGGCTGCCCTCATACTCAGGGGGATCCTCCTGCCTCAGTCTCTGGAGCACTGGGATTACATGTGTACATCACCATGCCTGGCTCTTACGTGATATCAAAGGAGCTGTACCATGAGATTTTCCTTACTAGAGGTCCTCACATCTCTCTCTACGCTTTTACTCCTCCTGTTTCCCTTCCTCCCAGACCCTCCTGTCCCAGCTCCCTGGGGTGGCCAAGAACAGCAGCAGTCTGCAGCTTTAATGGCACTCCACCCATCCCCCACTCCCTGGAGAAGGCATCACTAGGTCCCTTATGACGTCACAGTTCCACTGGGCCAATGGGATGGGAGGTTTGAGGCCACGCCCTATTGTGTTGTGTTTGGCTCCGCCCTGGTTACCCCTCTTGGGGGCAGGTTGTGGAGTTCAGTGGAGGGTGTTGGAGGAAGTTTCCCTGTGATGGAAGGGATTGTCATGAAGTGGTCTCATCCCTTTCCCCCTCCCTGTGTTGGAATACCTGAAGAAATCAGAAAGCAGAAATTGGCTGCAGCCAAGAAAAAGGTAAATCCAACAGGGTCCCAGCCCCTGGACCCAGAGCAAGTCCCAGATAGCAGCTCCTTGGCAGAGTCTATACCCCCTGGAAGCAAAGGGGAGGATCCTCAGCACTCCAGTGCCCCCTTCAAGTCCTCTCACAGCCCCTCTCCTCCCAGCCCAAATGGATGCCTCCACCTCCAGAGGGTCACACCTGTAGGCCTCACCTGGGGCTTGGCTCTGGCCTCATACTCATCCCACACACTTACCTCCCTGAGCCCTACATCAGAGGACCTCCTTCCCTTCCCCTGTGTGGGCACAGAGCAGGGTGGGGGCACACACAGATTCTGGGCACATGGAGGGGGGAAATAGAATGTTCTTGAGACCTTTTACACTGGACACTGTCATCACTAACCCTCACCTGGCCCTTAATCTTCCCACTTTGTCCCCTAAAGCAACTTCAAGCCCTTTCTGGTTTCTCTGGTGGAGACACAGATTTCTGTCTGGAAGGACCTGTGATCATGGGAATGGGTGCAGAGAGGTTTTGGTCACAGGTTTGGGCACCTTAACTGAGACACTGACAACATAAAAACTTCATCAGGGACCTCAAAAGGCTGACAGTCACTCTGGGAGGCCACAGGATTTGCCATGTGTGTTGGATTTTTCCCAGGGGTTGTCTCTAACAGTGACCCAGAATGTTTTCTAATTGTCCCCTGAACCTCTGACTCTCCTCTGTGTGTGTGTGTGTGTGTGTGTGTGTGTGTGTGTGTGTGTGTGTGTGTTGCTGATGGCTAAGCCCACAGCATTCAAAAGCAGAGGAAGCTCTCTGTTACTGAGCTGCAATGCAGCATGTTACTGACTCTTTTCCCCCAACAAGTAGGGGTTAAGTGCGGGGAGCACAGGGCTCCATGTTCAGCGCTTTTTAGTTTTTATTCTATTTGGGGAGGCATTTTACTGCTTGTATCCTCTCAAGCTTCCCTCATTCTTATCCTGCTATGGCAACACCACCCGTGTTTGGGTTTACAGGCCTACACCCCAGTCACAAGTTACTCTTTCTCTTTCTCTTTTCTTTCATTTCTTACTTTCTGGTGCCCAGGCATGTTAACTGCTCATTTCTTGAGTGACTAGCTGATCATGACAGTGAGCTGCTGGGCTGTTGGCAGCGTTAAGCAAGTGGTGTGCATAGGAGTGTGCTACAGAAAGTATGCAGGAGGATGTGAACACAGCAGCTCATTGCTTTTAAGAGTATGATTGCTTCTCTTTCTGCAGCTAAGACAATTTCAAAAACAGAAGAAGTCTGACCACTCTCCAGTGGACAAAAGAGCAAGTTTTTAAAAAGCATAAAACCTAAGCCTGCCAGTGGAGGAGAATATCACCCCCATGAAGCTGTGAGTCATGGGTGGCCAGGCAGCTGAGGATGGGGCTGCAATGGCAGCAGAGGGTCAGGGTGCAGATGAGAACAAGGTCAGGTGCTGAGAATCCTGCATTCTGGGGCTGGGCCTGTTCTAGCTCAGTGGGAGAATGTCAAAGAGAGGACTGCGGCTTGGGGCCCGAAGAGGGAAAATGGGAGAGATGCTAGGGTGCTAGGAGTGTCTGAGCTCATTGGTCCCTTCCTCCATCTACTGTCCCCTGTGCCTTGGCAGGTGCATGAGTTGAAGGAGGTTCGGGACAAGAATGCTGAGAAGCTTCCTGTAAAGTTGAGCGAACTGAAGAACTGCATGGGTGAGTGGGCACAAGGGTGACCTGGGGAGGGCGGGTGCCCAGGCTGTGGGTGGGGCTCACACTGCCCCAGGGAGTAAGGTGGATTCAAGGGCACAGTGTTAAATGGAAAGGCATCTATGCCAGGAGCTGGCAATTTAGTCCTATCTCTGGACCTCAGTATCCCCATTTGCAGAGATAGGTGTTGTGCCCCGTGCCAACCCACACCTAGGGTCCATAGAGGGAATTGCTTTTAGGCCTGGCCATGCTGTGGGCAGAAGGGATCAGTCATGAGGAAGCCAAGGCCCAAGCCAGAAGCCTGCAGTGGGGCTGAGCACTGAGGAGCTTGTTCAGGGCCCAGAGGCCCGGACCCTTTTGGCTGCCTCCTTTGTCACCTGTGCCCCAGTCCCGCAGCCCCGAGCAGGGCCCTCCAGGGCAGAGCAGCAGCTGCTGTTGGAGCTGCAGCAGGTGAGATCAGAGCTGGAGTGCCTCTAAGGGCAGCTAAAGACCACCCAGGAAGAAACCTGGCCCTGAGGAACACAGCCAGCCAGCAGGAGCAGCGCCTTCTTCAGGTTGAGATCAAGGCCCAGCTGTGGGCTGCTGAGGAGGCTCAGCACAGGAGCACCCCGCAGCAGCGACTGGAGGAACAGCATACCACCCTGGCTGGGTTAGGAGTGCAGAACTGCGTGATGAAGGGGCAGCTGGCCCAGATGCAGGACAGCTTGCAGAGGCTGGTGTGTGTCCACTGCTCACTGGGCTCCTCACTGCCAGCACCTTGAGGGCACAGCAGCACACTAACCCCTCTGCATTCTTCCCACACAACACATTGGGCCACTGTCCCCCTCAATCATGAAAGTGTCCTGTGAGCCAGAACCCTGCTGGGGCATCTCCTGCAGGCAGGGGATGATTCTGCATCCTGCCCTGCACTGTAGACACCCAGGTGGCGTCTCGGGTCTGCCTGTGTGGGTGGCACTGATTACCATTCTCTGTAGAGAGAAGAGAACACCAATATAGTGACCACCTGAGCTCAGAGCAGCTGAGAAACCATGAGTGGACTCTGAAGCTGGGCCAGCTACAGGAGGACATCTTGGAACTCAAGTCAGTGGTAGGTGACTCCTGCCCCATAGGACTGGGCTAGGACAGAGGTGCCGCCCATGGGGAGGGGAGGTGCTGGGGCCAGAACTGATCTCCTATACCAGGGCTGACAAGTGACCCCAGAGTCCTGCAGTGTCTGGCAGAGCAATTCTGGGAGTGTCTCTTGCTCTAGGCCTCTGACTATTGGAGGTGTGTGGCTCTGGGGTCTAACCAGGTCCTGATGTCACTTCTCTGCCAGAAGCCTGAGTCATCCTACTCCTAGGAGTAGACAGGAGGAGACAGGGTAGGAGGGAGGCTCCTTGGTTTCACACTGGGCTGGGTCTCAGCTTCACTGCTCACAGTTTCAGTGCTGCCCATCCCCAGCCTCAGTTGCCATCCCTTCCACTGGATGTTAGCATTTTCTTCAGAGACTTGTTGGACTTAGTGAGACTATGTGTGCACGCTGGAGGCTAGAGGAGAGCACTTAACACGTGTGACATGGCTCCATCTGATCCTCCACAGCTGTGGCGTGAAGTCCAAGTTCAAGAACAGAGGTTCCAGGGCTGGAGGCTGGGAACAGGAGGCCAGCAGTTCAGAGTGGCCCCTACCAAATTTCTGAGCTCAGGGTGCTGAGGCCCCAGGGCATGCCTGCCCTCACTTCTGGGTCTTCTGCAGGTGGTGCTGAAGAGCCAGGAGGCCCAGGTGCTGCAGCTGCAGAGAGACCAGCTGCTGGGCACCCTGTGCCAGGGCACTGAGGCCTGGTTACAGCTGGTCTCTGAAAAGCAGGCTCTTCAGTGGAGTTCTCCCAACTAGTAATGCAGCTGCAGGAGAAACACGAACAAGAAAACAAGGCCCTGGAGAACATCTTCCAAGACCTGAAGAAGACCCAGGTGTTTGAGGCTGCTGAGGCTGGGCCCCTGCCTGGGAGGACCTGGCTGCCTCTGACTTGTCACTGTCCATCCTCACCTACAGGAAGTGGTGCAATCCTCCAGGCTGCAGAAACAGCAATCAGCCCCGGGCAGAGATCTGGCACTGCCCCGGGAAGCTGAGTGGAGGTGTCAGTGCTGGATGGGCTGAGGAGCACTCTGAGAAAGAGAGTGGAGGGGGAAGAGATGGCAGAGGGCTGCTCATTCTCTCCCAGAGGGTGGTGGGCCAGGGGGACCTGGTGAGGTGGGTGGAGGGGACCCGGGACTGCTCTGCCTCCCTTTTGGGGCTTACTGGGGACCCTCCTGACTGATTGATCACAATTGGAAATGAAGGGGATGTGGAGGAAAGGAACACGAAGAGCCCTCAGACCAACAGCACCACTCCTGAGGATGTGGGCAGCTCAGAGGCCGAGGTGAGCTGGGCTCTGCTTTGAGCCTGGCCTGGGTCTCCTTCCCTGCCTCTCCCTCTGAGGTCCTTTTGAACATCTCAATACTTTGGATTTTCCCATCCCCTCATTTCCCTGGACCTTCTCTGGAAGCAGTGGTCACACCCCATCCCCTAGGAGCAACAGGTGCCAGTGGCAGAAGGGAGGCTCCTTTGTACCCCATGCAACTGTCATCTGGATAGCTCCCCCCACAGAATCACACCCTGCCTCCACAGATGGTATTTGTCAACAGAGGTCCCACCGCTGTGCAGAAATAGTGGGCTCAGCCAGCCAGCCATCAGAGAATGCAGAGGCAGCCATGCCCGAGCATAACCTAGTGGAAATCCCGACCCAGGGCAAGCCTAAGGAGGAGGCTTCAGTACCCAGGAGCAGTGGTGACCATGTGGCCACAGTGCAAGTGCAGGAGAGGCTGTTCCACCCGGCTGAGAAGGGTGGGCAGGACAGGTTGCCACAGAGCCCTGACTCTGTGCTCTGCCTCCTATTTCGTGCAGGCCTTGCAGGGCCAGGCAGGACTGAAGAGAGTGTGCAGGAGCTGCCATGTCAGGGCCTGCTGCTCTGTGGTGATTCCAGCACCGCTGGTGAGCTGGGCCAGGGCCCCTGCAGCAGGGGCACTAAGGTTTGGGATTTGGGGAGGCCTGCAAGTGACCTGTGACTATTGTTCTCCTTTGCACAGCCGAGCACCCTGACATCTGCCCCAAACAGGGGCCAGTCCTTAAAAAGAGGAATTATGAGGAGGAGGACACACGAAGGAGGAGGTGGATGAACCAATGGAAGAGGAGGAAGAGCAGGAGAATCAGGAGGAAGAGGAGAAGTATGAACAAGTGGAGGAGGAGGAGGAGGAGGAAGAAGTGGTGGAGGAGGAGGAGCGTTGTAAGCAGGAGGAGGAGGATCAGTGAGTGGAGGAGGTGGATGAACAAGTAGAGGAGCAGGAAGAGGCAGAGGAAAAGGAGGAGCAGCAGCCAGAAGGGCAGGAGGAGGAAGCGGACATGGAGGAGGAGCAGGAGCTGGAGGAGCAGGAGGAGGAGGAAGAGGAAAAGGAGGAAGAGATGGAGGCAGAGGATCAGCAGCAGGAGGAGGAGGAACATATACACCAGCTGTTCCCAGTGAAGGGAGAGGAGAAGGTAGGTCTGGATGTCTCCTTAGGCTGGGTCAGGGTGGGCCCTGAGCCTCTGTCCCTCTTGGTAAAATAAAGCTGCTTGTGCTGCAGGAGGTGGTTCTGATCCTGAAAACAGATTGCAGGTCCGGTCAGGATGAGTTTAAGGGCACTGCACAGAGCCGTGGCGAGGAGCCCACTGTGGGATCCCCACCCACCAAGCACGCTGCAGCCTCAGATGAGGAGTGCGGTCCTGGGAGGGATGGGCAGGGGCAGGCATGGCAAGGGGCACACACTCAGTGCCTGCTGCTCTCTCCCCAAAGATCCTGCAGAGGGAAGCCCTGCACACACTGAGCAGCCTCCAGCTGAAGAGGCTGTGGCCTGGTGCCCCCCAGAACCCCAGCTGCATGAGAGTGAGAGTCTGCACAGCGGACTGGCTTGGGCCTTCACCCCGAGTACAGTGGTTTCTGCTTTGGAACACGCTGAGGAGGAGGAAACCACAGGACCCAGTCTAATCTAAAGAGTTTCACCAGCAGGTCCTGGGGAAGTGGGGCCGGGGCTGTGTGCCCTCTTTCCCCAATTCAGTCCCTGCCTCCGCATCCCTCTTCTCCTGACTTATTTGCTCTGATGTCTAGAGGAGCAAGAAAAACTCTACAAATTTATTTCTTCCTAAATATATTTTAATTCCAAGGATTCTTTAAAATATCAAAAAATGTTAATTAATTTGCATAAAAAGGAAAAACCCCACAGAGATATTTAATTAAAAGTATTAAAATTTTAAAATCTTTTTTATTTTAAAGAGTAAAACATGACAAAATGAAACTGAGTTTCCGAACAGGATAGTAGGACAGCGACAATACTTGATACCCTGCATGCTGTTGTCTTCCAGGTAGCTATTCGGAGTACAGGATGTAGGCATCCTATAGCATCTAAACAATGTTAGCACAAAACTTTGCTTTCAAGGAACAAATCAAAGCTAGCTGTGCAATTATCTTCACTCTAATTTTTTCTTTTTTCCCTTTCTTTTTTCCTCTATCACAGTTTGAACTTGAAAAGCTCATTTATGGTTCTGAAGGACAGAGGGAGGAGATGGGATGGGGTCCTGATGCCCTGGTCGTGATTATCCCCTTTATGCTGATTTTCATTTGGTTGTGAATCACTGGATTCCATCAGCTTCCTGGCCCAGCAGGTTCCTGGGATTGAAGAGCAAGGATCAGATGAGGAGCAGGAAGCAGATGCTGCCGGCAGAGGGCGCACATCAGGCTGTGCAGGGTCCCAAGTCAGAGCTGGTCCAGCAGGCCTGGATGGCATCTCCTTACCTTGTCACCTGGATGCTTCTAGGGCATAGTGAGGGGACTGTGTGGAGGCTCCCCAGGCATCCCGTCTTAATGGGCTGTGGACTGGAGCCTGAGATCCAGTGGGGAAGGACAGACTCAGGGGGCTGCCCTGCCCTGCAGTGCACCATTTCCATTTCATGCCCTGGTTCTGGTGCTGTCTGCACATGGGGGCCTGTTCCTTCTGGTTAGCTCAGCCTATTGTTGGCTGCTGCCCCTCTTCCTTGAGGTTCAGTTTGTGACCCTGCTCCTTAGTGGTAAGAATGGTTTCTTTGTTGTTTTTTGATAAGAATACTCTATGGGAATTCCATAGCCCTGGAATGCCTGTGACATATCAACTTTAGTCTGAGAAACTCAATTCATTCTCATGAGACAGACATGAGTCCTTGGGAACAAGGTGGGGGTGATACCTTTTAACGTGAAGTCCCCCTCAGAAGTCTCCTCTGTTTGGAAGTTGATTGGATGGGAAGGGCAGCATACTCTACAGAGGACTTGTCCACTGATGAGTTCAGGGGGTAGATGTGCTGTCAGGGTGTGAGGCTGCTGGGAACGGGGTTGCTGACCACTGTGGCCTGAGCACCTTTCCCTTGGCCGTGTCCCTCTTCCCTCCTGTTTTTGCCTTGGAGCCAGTCCATCAGAGACTAGAAGTCTGAGCCCAGACAAACCCCTCCTCCTCTAAACTGCGGGTGTCAAGTATCTTGTCTCACAGGTGGAAAGTGAGAAAGACATGAAGGTTTCGGGACCTGTGCAGAGTGCAGACAAGTTCTCTCTGGCCAGAATGTACCATGCACAGGAAGTTCCCACCTGAGACCTCCTGAGACTTGGCTCCGCTCTCTGCAGTTTGCCAGCACTCTGGTCATCTGAGATCCAATCAGAAACACCCACTAGACTGTGCTTATGGCATTGCAGGGCTTCTCTAGCACACAGCTGTTAACATCCCCAAATCCCTCCCTCAAAACTGTCCCAAATGCATCTGAACTTCATGGTCTCAGGCAGTCGCTGTTCGGACTCCACTTCTCTAGTCCCAGTTCTTTGTATTTGCTCACTGAGATCAGTAGCTGACACCCACAATATAAGAAGGAGACTTTTCCTTGGCTCACAGTTTCAGCAAACTCAGTCCACGTCTGGCTGGCTCTGAAGCAGATAGATCGTGGCAGAAGGGCAAAGCTGCTTACTTCATGGCATCTGGGAAGCAGAGCAGATTGATTATTCCTGAGAGCGAGTGCCAGGTGTCCAATATAGTGTCCTTTGTTACACTTCAGGGACACATCAAGAGGTGTGCTTTCCTAAGCTGCCTCTCAATTCTAAAGCTACCACTCACAACCCATCTTTAGTGTCACCGTAAAAGTCCAGGGGGCTTCTTACTAGAAACAACACATCTTAGGACACAGAAGAAACCACAATGCTTATAGAAACAAGTTCATGCATCAGCCTACAATAAGTGCTCAGCAAACATGTCCCCCAAAATCACACTGAAGTTCAACTTTCTGGTCCAGAAATTTCAAAACCTGAGATAGCACCAGCTTTCCTTAAGGAAAGGATTCAAAAGAGTCCCATATTCACAGGAAAATTTATTCCAAAATGGAAAATGTGTCAATGGTGGGGCTGTGGTAGATTTGGTGGGGTTAGTGGTAGAGTGGTGGTTGGAGTTGTGGTTAGGGCTGGCACTAGAGCTAGGGTTAGGGAAAAGATGGTTTGAGGTAGTACTAGTTAGGTTAGGAAAGTATACAGCTATAGTTAGTGTTAGTATTAGGTTTCTGGAGACAGGGCTAGGCTTTGAGTTAGGTGTAAGGTTAGATTTAGGCATCAGAATAGTGCTAGTGCCGGGCTAGGCTTTTGGTTAGGTTTAGGTTTGTGTTATCTTTCAAATTAGGCCTATGATTAAGGCTAACTCTAGCTTTGGTGTAGGTCTACTTTTGGGATTTGACTATGGCTAATGTGGGATTTGGGATTAGATTTATCCTTAGGGTGAGAGTTAGGTTTAGGATTTGGGCCTGTAGTAGAGTTAAATTAGGGGTAGGCTTACTATGTGGTTAGTGTTAGAGCTAGAATTGGGCTATAGGTGGGCTCAGAGGTGAGCCCAAGGCAGACAGCCCAACTAAGTGGTGTGCCATGACAGCTCCACGGTAAGAATGACTAAATCCAGGGGAACCAAGCTTGCCAGTCTTTGTGGGCTGGCATCAGCAAGTTCTCCTAAGACTGGTGCCCTGTCACCCTGAGCAGTTACCCTGCTATATTTTGGGGTTTCTGGGCATGGACCCACTCATCAGCTCTGTGGACCTCGGTGTTGTCGCTAAAATCTGGGTAGGAAATGACAGCAGTTTGGGGAAGTTGGATTTATTTCTCCCCAGCCAGTTGGATCCTGGAAGACTCAGGAGACTGTCCTTTCTCTGCGGGCTCCCCATAGCCGGAGGAGACTCCCAGTCCATCATGCACCTTCATTCCATGGGCAGTTTCTCTCCCAAGGAGAACACATGGACTTCCCAATCTTCTCTGGCCAAGAAAGGTTTGGAGCTACAGCTCAGGCCTGCTTCCCCTCCTGCCCTCAGCTGCCAGTGACCCACCTCAAGGACTGTCCTCCTCGGGTTCCAGCATGTCACAGTGGTGCTTCAGGTTCAGCTTCTCCTCCAGCAGCACCAGCGCATACTCCACCACCTAGATATTCTAGTTGGTGGTCTCAGCTTCCGGGTCAGCTGATCATTCTCGGTCTTGCAGTGATCCACACTTGGCTTCAGCTCCTCTGTGGCCACCGCTGCTGTGGGGGTGCGGGCCAGGCCGCTGGCTGAGCGTGCATGGTGCTGGGCTATGCTGGGACCCGGCTGTGGGGCATTGTATTGCCACATGTGGAAACATCAGCCCGGGGCTCAGGCTCACAGCCACAGCCGCCACGGGCCCCAGTCCATGCTGGGCCACCTGCTCTGCATCACTGGGATGCTGCAGCTGCAGTCACTGCCCCAACTGAGCTTGTCATTGCCTGACCTGGATGGGCCAGCTGGGCGCGGGAGCAGATGCAGTTGGCGAGGTGCAGGACTGGGGGGTGGGCCAGACAGAAGCAGCAATGCCAATGCCCGCCTCTGGCAGCACTGCCTGGCATAGACCTCAGGGTGTCCACTGCGTCCCCCCTGAGGTGCGAGATCCTCCCCCGACCACCATCACTGTGCTAGGCACAGACACCCCTGCCCAGAGTCTCTGGCCACAGTGAGCACCCCAACTCAGAAAGAAACACCTTCCCCACAAAAAGTGATTCAACGCCGCGGGGTCCTGATCCCAGCCAGCACGGACACTGTCTCTGAAGCCTTCCACACAAGCCCTCACCTCCAAAGTCTGGGTTGTTCACCTGCTCCTCTCTCAGAGTGGAACTTCAGTGTCTCCCCAAGACAGGCTTCCTCACAAGCTGCCTGTGCTGCCTCCCCCAGGCTTGGATGAGCCCAGCTCCTCACAGGATCCTTGGCTGCTCCTGAAAATGTTTCTGTGATTGGAACTCTGCATGCGTGGGTGTACCACTAAGCGCTTTATTGTATGGGTCCCTATTAAAAAGAAACTGCATAAAAGTCCCTATAAAAGTAACAAAATCACCCTGTGACAAAAAAATTAAGTAATGAGGGCAGAGTTCTGGAGACCAAGCTTTGTCCTGAGCATGCTCCCTGCAGTCAGTCTGTGCTATTCTAAGGACAGTTCTTTGATGTGGGGGCTTCTACTTACAGTTCATGGGCAGAGAGGTTGGGTGCTTTGCCCAGTGGCAGGCATTTCTTAAATGGGGAGCCAAATGTGAGTCATAAATAAATCCAGAGCTCTACACAGGGTGGTCAGGTTGGTGCCATCTTCACGCATAACTCCCGGAAAGCCTGCAACCAAACAGTACAGGTCGTTAAGATAACTGCATTCATCAGTATGGAGATTAGGGTAAAGCCCCCCAAAGAGGGGAAAGTGAAGTGGGGGTGGAAAAGATCAAAGAGCAGGGAAGATGCAGGCCATGTGGGATCCAGGAAAGGAGGAGCCAATCTGCTCCTCCCATAAGTCAGCAAAAGCTCTTCTGGGTCTGGGAAGAGAAAATGAAGCAGCCAATCTGCTCTTCCTGTAAGCAATGCAAACCATTCAGGGCCCAGGAAGACAGAAGCCAGTGCACCCCTCCCAGGAGTCAGCAGGAGCCAAGCTGGGTATGGGGGAGCACAGCAGGAAGCCAATTTGCCCTTCCTGTAAGCCACTCAAGCCATGTGGGGCCCAGAAAAAGAGAAGCCAGTTTGCCCCTCCTGTGAGCCCACTGGTGTGAGAATCAAGGTACCTGCCCTCCAGAAACAACAGGTTGGTTCTGGAGGACAAGCTGAGTTAATAGAAACCCAGGTACAAAACCAACTAAATGCTTGTGTTGTTTGGTTGACTTTGCAGGCCTGAGGCCCATAGTCTAAGCATCTGTTAGGAGGATGACAGCACGCAGCATAGCAAATACGGGGAAATTTCCTTCTGTCCTGTGTTTGAAATCCAATAGGGCGTTCACTGGTTAGTTTTTTCCCAATTATTACTTTGTTTTATTGAATGTTCTATTTTGATTGGTTTATTTGTGGGGTTTTTTTTTTTTTGCTTTTACTTTTTTTTTTTTTAATTGGCACCAGGGATCGAACTCATGACTGCCTGCTTGCAAGGCAGGTGCTTTTGCCACTGAACTAAATCCCCAGCCCCCATTTGCTTTTACTATGTCTGATGCACAGCTCTTGTGAAGATAACAAGTGTTATTAAAGTAGCCATTGTAGGTTTCCTATTATACTGTGTTTTGAAGGTTTGTACCACTTTTACTGTTTCGTTTGGATTGGCTTTACTTCGTTATATTTTATTCTCTTTAAAATAAAGAATACATTTAAAAACAACAAAGAGGGGGAAAGAGATGAAGGTCAGGAGCACCCAGGGGCTGGAAGAAGGAGGAAGTGCAGGCGCCCTTCCTTCCACAGGCCCTGGGCCTTCCTGGCTCCTGCTAGCCCCTAGCAGGAGGCTCTTATCCCTGAGATCTTTCTCATGGGCACTAGTGCTCAGCAGACCTGCGTTTTCAGGGCCAAAACACAGAACCCAACTTTCCAATCTGCTTTACACAGTAAAAGGACAACTGATGTGTATTTCGGAGAGCGAATGGCAGTGTTTTCCAGTGTTCCCACCAACAGACTTCCTAAAGATGGTATGCTGTGCTTAAGAAAATCAGAATATGCTCTTGCACATTACTGATATAAACAAGTCGCCTGCTATGAGGCCCAACCTCCAGCTTCCCAGAGAGGCAGGATAATGACCCCATCTTCCAACCAGGCTTCCTGGATCTCACACTCCAATTAAGAAGCTCCTTCCATGTACACTGTGGCATCTGTCATCTTGTCCCACTGAGGAAAGGTCATGAACTGCCAAAGAGAAGAGATGAATCTCATAGTGGAACTCACTTAGCCTGCTTTCTTCCCAGTGTGTCCCTGGGCACTCCTCACCCCAGGAACTAACCACAGCCCACGGAGGGATCAAAATACTTGGAGTCCTTTTACCTGGGTCTCCCTGCCTTTTCACAGAACTAAGTGGAGTTTGCTCCATGACTTTCTTCTTCTAAGTCTCCAGAGCTGCCCATTCTAACTGATAACTTTAGTATATTCAGTCTGACTACATCTGGGCACAGCAGCAAGATTAGCACTTACAGCACACATTGGAAATTACTAAGCTCTGCTATGTATAATGTAAGTCTGATGTTACATGAAAGAGAAGGCAGGTTAAGAGCAATGAATGTAGATGTTTTTGTGCTTAGGAAAAGTTGAGCCAGGCTGGTGTGGGGTCCTGAGCTACAGCTGTGCCCATGCCTCCTGATTCTCTTCTCACTTTCTCTCCCAAGTTTCCCACAATCAATTACAGGGATATTTGATCCTGTCTCAGCATCAGTGTTTTGGAGGATCTGAATCTGAGCAAACATAGCCTCCAAGGCAGAAGCAGGGTCTCAGGGAGAAAAGGCAAACAGAACAACCCAGGGGACAGGGGACAGGGGACAGGGGACAGTAGCTTGGAATAGAGTAGGGACAACAGGGGTGGAGACAAATCAAATTATGCCTTTCTGTCAAAGACAGAATGTCAAGAAAAAACTACAAACCCATGGAAAGAAAGAACCTAGGCACTTAACAGCTCAGGGTAAAAGCCCCATGTTCAATCCTTAACACCATGATAAAGGAAGAGAACAGTTACTAGGCTGGCTGCTAGGATAAGTGCTAAGAGAGGAAGTGGCCACCCAAGATGCCTCCATGGTTTTAGGCCTAAGCAACTGGAAAGGTGGAATCTCCTGCACCTGACACGCTAAAGCCTGTGAGGGGAACACGTTCTAGGAGTGACACCAAAGGCCGACATCAGGATCTAGAAGGCTGGAGATACGATCAGACATGCAAAGGAAATGTCACAGAGACTACTGATTTCATGAGCCTAGATTTCACAATAGGCTATTGGTTGAACACACAACTTCCACAGTTGCTGTGTAGCTGGTATTTGATGCCACAGAACTGAATGTGATCACATGAGGTAAGAGAAAGATCATCATAGGGATGATGTAGGATCTGGATCCTGGTACATACCAGATTTGTCAGCTGAGGAGGATTCATCAGGTAACAAAGGAGGTCAGGCAAATGCAGGCTCGTCATCAGTGCCTTATGAAGTTCACATTTTAACAGAATGTGGCCCTTTTGAGAGTAAATACTGTTTGCCTCAAAGTCTGTTTTATGTGACTATTTCATTTTGTTTTTATTTTTGAGATATGGTCTTGATAGGCAGTTCAGGCTCTTGAACCCAGGCTGCCCTCATACTCAGGGGGATCCTCCTGCCTCAGTCTCTGGAGCACTGGGTTTACATGTGCATATCACCATGCCTGGCTCTTATGTGATTTCAAAAGAGCTGTGCCATGACATTTTCCTTACTAGAGGTCCTCACATCTTTCTCTATGCTTTTACTCTGTTGTATTTCTGATACTTTAGTTTCCCTTCCTCTCAGCCCCTCCTGTCCCAGCTCCCTGGGGTGGCCTAGAACAGAAGCAGTCTGCAGCTTTAATGGCACTCCACCCATCCCCCACTCCCTGGAGAAGGCCTCACTAGGTCCCTTATGATGTCACAGTTCCACTGGGCCAATGGGATGGGAGGTCTGAGGCCACGCCCCGCTGTGTTGTGTTTGGCTCCGCCCTGGTTACCCCTCTTTTTTTTTTTTTTTTTTTTTTTTTTTTTGTCTTTTTCATTTTTATCGGTACCAGGGATCGAACTCACGACTGCCTGCTTGCAAGACAGGTGCTTATGCCGTTGAGCTAAACCACCAGCCCCTGGTTACCCCTCTTGTGGGCAGGTTGTGGAGTTCAGTGGAGGGTGTTGCAGGAAGATTCCTGCGATGGAAGTGATTGTCATGAAGTGGTCCCACCCCTTACCCCCTCCCTGTGTTGGAATACCTGAAGAAATCAGAAAGCAGAAGTTGGCTGCAGCCAAGACAAAGGTAAATGCAACAGGGTCCCAGACCCTGGACCCAGAGCAAGTCCCAGATAGCAGCTCCTTGGCAGAGTCTATACCCCCTGGAAGCAAAGAGGGGGGACCCTCAGCACTCCAGTGCCCCCTTGAAGTCCTCTCACAGCCCTCTCCTCCCAGCCCAAATGGATGCCTCCACCTCCAGAGGGTCACACCTGTAGGCCTCACGTGGGGCTTGGCTCTGGCCTCATACTCATCCCACACACTTACCTCCCTGAGCCCTACATCAGAGGACCTCCTTCCCTTGCCCTGTGTGGGCACAGAGCAGGGTGGGGGCACACACAGATTCTGGGCACAGGGAGGGGGGAAATAGAATGTGCTTGAGACCCTTTCCACTGGACACTGTCATCACTAACCCTCACCTGGCCCTTAATCTTCCCACTTTGTCCCCTAAAGCAGCTTTAACTCCTTTCTGGTTTCTCTGGTGGAGACACAGTAAAAGGACAACTGATGTGTGTTCGGGAAAGCGAATGGCAGTGCTTTCCAGTGCTCCTACCAACAGACTTTGTAAAGATGGCCTGCTGTGCTTGAGAAAATCAGAATATTCTCTTGCACATTGCTGATATAAACAAAACACTTGCCATGATGCCCAACCTCCAGCTTCCCTCAGAGGCAGGATAATGACCCCATCTTCCAACCAGGCTTCCTGGATCTCACACTCCAATTAAGAAGCTCCTTCCATGTACACTGTGACATCTGTCATCTTGTCCCACTGAGGAAATGTCATGAACTGCCAAAGAGAAGAGATGAAACTCACAGTGGAACTCACTTAGCCTGCTTTCTTCCCAGTGTGTCCCTGGGCACTCCTCACCCCAGGAACTAACCACAGCCCACGGAGGGATCAAAATACTTGGAGTCGTTTTACATGGGTCTCCCTGCCTTTTCACAGAACTAAGTGGAGTTTGCCTCTGTGACTTTCCTCCGCTAAGTCTCCGTTGCTGCGCACTCTCTGTGCAGCCCTGCCTTTCTAATTGATAACTTTAGTATATTCAGTCTGACTTCATCTGGGCACATACTGTTCTAACACTTCGTGGTCTTGCTCAACATTGGGATCTCACTCAAAGAAGGTAAGCTATCCTCTTTCCAACAGTGCAAGTAACAGTTCCTTTTCTTCAAATGTATATCCACGTGTGTTTCATGTACATCAATGTCAAGTATGTAAGAAATAATTTCTTAAAACATTTCTACAATTAGGGTTCCTTCAGATGGCTTCATCCTAGCAACCTCCAATCATTTGGGAAACGTTATTTCTTATAAATGTTCAGGAGAAATTGTGTTTTTGACCTAGTTTGCTGAACCAGTCTCTTACTTTGTCAGCACAAATACTGCTTTGTCTTCCTTCACTCTTCTGTTCACTCATTAAGGTGTTTATTAAGTACCTGTTATGTACCAGGTGCAGTAGTAGACATTGCAAAATCAGTGACGAAGCAGTTGTCAGTGGCCCTTGTATGATGGTGCTTTTGTTGTAGAAGGCACAGACAAAGCAAACAAAAAACAAGCAATAAAAAAAGCCCAAAAGAACAGTCACCAGTATCATCCCAAGTTTTCACATTGGCAGCTAGGATTTCTCTGAGAGGGCAAAGCTTTCCTACTTGGCACTCAAATCCTTGCTACTCAAATCCTACAGGTCCACTTGAGTCACATCCAGATTTGGCACTCACTGTAAGCTACATGTTCTCCAATTGCCTTAACCGAGGCAATGTAATATGTTTAGAATAAAAGAACCAATAAGGCAAAAAGAGACAAATAACATAGAAGTATGTCTGGTAAGGATATCACTGAATATGTGACGCTGGATTGACCTGTTATCTAAACAAGACGTCGGGACATGCAAAATGTGAGGGAAGAGCTTTCCAGGAAGAGAGAATGGCATCTGTAAAAGCTGACGGCAGAAAAGAGTTTAGCAAATGTACAGAACAAAGTCAGAGAGGCTGAGGCTTCATCAGCAAATGGGGATGACCCATGACACCATCAGCAAGACGAGAAACACTGATGAGAGCGAGGGAATTGTGCCTGCTTTGCAGGTGGGGAGCTATTCGAGTTTTATTTTGAGGACAAAAAGAAGCCTCTGATTATTCTTTGGATAGAGAAGGAAATTATTTGTATGGTGAGAGTATTGCTACAGAGTGCAAAAAAGATTGTAGTAGCAAAGTTACGAGGAGGGTCACTTGTGTGAAAGCTGTCACTGTTGTTGCCAAAGACAAAAGATGCCATGTGCTGATGGCAGTGGGGGGAAGAAGTGGTTGGACTTACAAGA